AAGAAAAACTTACAATTTTTATATATTTATTGTATTCAATCAATTTTAACTAATATTATTTTATCCACGTGATTTGGAATGTTTGTTGTAAAAGGGATGGAAGGAGCATGTGTTAACAATAAAAACCAAGAAAGGCTTGTGTAAAAATTTGCTATTAAAGCTACTGAGTGGAAGCTGCAGGAAATTAAAGCTTTATTTTTTATAGGAAGGAAGTCCACGCATTCCAATTTCCGAAAATAGAGATAGGATATCGAAGTAATCCTATTCCACCCTGTGGTGTATATATGCAAATTAAAGAGCCTTTTCCAGTTTTCCTCCCCTCTTTTGTCATGACAATAACCTGGGGTATCTATGTTGTTGATTAATATGAATTTAAAACGGCATCAAATTCTAAATAAAGATTTATTTTTTTCTTTTCTCGATACACCAAGAAGACCACTACTTGAAGAAGCTATTTCAACACAAACAAAAGGCGTACTATGTATAGGTGTCTTTAGTTTCTCCACTGAATCCCACGTACAGTACAGCAACTAAACAAGATCCTGGGCTTTTTTTCCATTGATAGAACGAATAAGAAAGAACATTAACCTCTTATAGAAAAGTCGAATTCCCATTCTCCAATCATATACTATAGTGCGGGGGAAAAGAAGAAAAGGTATTCTTCATTCTTGTTGAAGCCAGTGAGGCACTATCATAATATCAGATTCCATCGATAATCACACAAGTACGCGAAATCCAACCATGCCCTTTGAAGCTTACCTTAGATTGGCTTTTTCTTGGGATCTCTTAGAACGGACAAAGCACAATCACCAATCCTGTATGCCATAATTCGGTTGAATATATCTCAATCCTGAATTGACAGTTCTTTTCTTTCTCTAATATAACCTAGCTTGTTCTCTCTGCAAGAACCAATCCTGCTGCTATAAATACCTTGCAAATCTAACTCTTATTGCACTCACAAGTTTAAAGACCACACACAGATAGATATATAGGGAGGATCTGATCCATGTCTAGGGCCATGGACCCACTGATCGTGGAAAGAGTGATAGGAGAGGTAATAGACAATTTCAGTCCAAGTGTGACGATGAATGTGATGTACAATTCCAGCAGGCCTCTTCGTTCCTGGCCAGGAGCTGTTTCCTTATTCTGTTATTTCCAGACCAAGGGTTGACATTGGCGGCGAAGATATGAGGACTTTTTATACCCTAGTAAGTTATTTTTGTGAGTTTAATTAATAATTATCCTTTTGTATATGTTTTCTTCTGTTACTTCTGCTAACACTTGGCTTGCTGGGAATCAAAGATTATGACTGATCCAGATGCTCCAAGTCCTAGCGATCCATACTTAAGGGAACATCTTCACTGGTTTGTGTTATATATGTGAGCTTTTGTTTGATGTTTTTATTGAAGTTTGTAGTGTACAATGATCATATATTTCCCAGTCGATCTGAACAAGTTTGTTGGCATCGAATTTTGCAGGATGATCACGGATATTCCTGGTACCACTGATATAACCTTTGGTTAGTTTCCCTTAATTACCTCGTCCGTGAGTGAATTTTTTTTTCTTTTTTTAAATTAAAAGAGCTGATACTAAGGGCCTCAAGTGGTAAGTGGGGCCAAACATGGGACCTCCCATTTGTACAGGGAGCTTACATGCCACTAGACTACAAGACTGTTTGCCGTGTAAACTCTGAATTTATTTTTCATGTATAGTGATGTGGCAAAGATGCCTGTACGTGTGGTGTATGCAGTGAGGAATCTCAGATACTGATTATATGTGTATATGCAGGGAGAGAGGTTGTGGAGTATGAGAGCCCAAGGCCTGTGGTGGGAATTCACAGATATGTGTTTGTGTTGTTCAAGCAGAGAGGGAGACAGACAGTGAGGCCTCCAGCTTCAAGGGACCATTTTAACACAAGGGCTTTCTCACTTGAGAATGGCCTCGGCCTTCCTGTTGCTGCTGCTTACTTCAATTCCAAGAGGGAGACTGCCGGAAGAAGAAGATCATAATTTTATATATATATATATATATATATCCCTAACTAGCTATTACTGAAAACAAATATATATATATATATATATAATATTACTGAGAATTAAAGCCAGTCGCACTGATCAGAAAGCCATGAACAGTACGACTGCTAGTGTGGGACTTTGTGCAAAGGCACAGCCCGATGGAGCACAAGCTCTAGTTACCTTATATGGGACAATAATAATGTATGGCATTACCAAGTGTCTAGTGCACTAATTTGGCCAACAATACTATTCTCAAGACAACTATGTAGCCATGCCAATAATGTTGCTATCTGAGCCAACAATGATTAATGTATAATGTTGTTGTCATTATATTGGGGACAACGATTTATAATCGCACGTATCTCTACTAACGCAAAACTTGTTTTGTCGCATGCCAACAGAAATTAAATTAAAGGAACTCAAGTAACAAAAGCGACATATTGTGATGATGAACTCCAAAGGAAAATGTTGCTAAAAGAAAAGTCCTACCAAAAAAAAAAGAGGTATGAAATTTAGAAGTCTGGACACAAACCTAAAGCTAATAATAACTTTAATTTCAGAATGAAAGAAACTTGTTCTGTTCATGGAGATCAACCATAACGCCATTATGATGTTCAGTGTAGGAGAAGAGAGCAAGAAATAGGGATTCTCAATCCAAGGAGAGGATGGCTCCTACCTACAAGACTGTGCTATATATATAAAGGACAGAGAAGAGCATAGATATTTTTACCACCGACACTCCCATATATACTGAAGAGAAGAATATATATGGGGATTAACTTGATGATTCAAAATTACTAATTAAGATTCTAGGCAAAAAGAAAGGTTCCTATCAAGCTCACATCCGGCAAGATCCTGGCATTGAATAATGACACTAATTAGCTATTCATGTACCGTTTCATTAAAGTAAACTTGGCTAATTTTCTGGGAAAAGTGCCTGTCATTAGTAGCGTCGTTGTAAGAATATCCAGTCTTCTTTATTCGGGTTTGGAGCAAGATCAGCGCAAAGTAGTCCCAATCATCAGTGGCTATAAGCAAAAATTGATTTTTAAAAATACTCCTCCTGTTCTGAATGCAAAACCTATTATGTAATGTAATTTACCTTACAAAATAAGTTTGCATTTAGGACCGAAAGAGTAAAATACTTTTAGCATGCTTTGGAGGCAGGGTTGGGTGAATGCATAGATTATGGCAACAAGATGCCATGAACTTAACCAAAAAAGAAGGAAATAGCCTCTGAAACCTTGTTAAAGGCAAACTATAAATTTAGGTTAGTTTGGTGGCAAACTAAATTTATGAGGAAAAGAGTATCAAATTTGTGGTTGTACTTGTCTCAACCAAAGTAATTAATTCTCTTTGTACTCGAAAAATGAAAGCTACTATCCAACTCAATTATATAAACAATCAAATGCTACTGTATATTTATTCTCACCACCAGAAGCAATCCCCAATTGGCCAATTCTGTCCCACCTGGAGTCACTTCTCCTTAATGCTTGTAGGTACTAAACGCAATCAAAATATTTTAAAATTCATTTTCATAATATTGCAAAGTGTCCCAATTTCTAGACATCTCAAAAACGCCATAAAAGATAAAACTTTGGATTCTTTCCGACGCGTGGTGTGGTCCAGGAAATTACACAGGGTGAGTACATTGATTTTGTCAGGAAAAGGTAATGTTTGGATTTGGACGAGGGAAAAAAGTAAAAGAGAGAGTGAAGGACAGCACAAAAAAAAAAAAAAACGGCAGGAAAAAGGTAGATATAAGATTAACATATTTTCTGTAAATTTTGCCTATTTATAAATAGAGATTTTGAAGAGAAAATACATTTTTTAAAAGTTATCCGAAGAAAGAGGACAAAAACATGAAATCAGCATCTTTTCTGTGTGAGTAATTTTATCATAATAAAAATGGCCCCTTTTTCTGTATTTTTTTTCAGTTAATATAATTTTGGCCCTTGGAACATGTCCTATTTTGGTTTTGACCTCTCAAATTTAAATTTATAATTTTAGTCATTAAAATTTAGTTTATTTTTGAAACGTTAGTCGTTACATATTCAACAGTGTTAAAATCCATTGAAGTGTTGTAACAACATTAAAGTAATGATATAAATTTAACAAATGACATTTAGATCTTGTGAAAACAAGAGAGAGAGAGAGAGAGAAACATTAAAGCAGCTGTATAGCCTCTTTTTTCTCCCAACTGTTCATTTGAAAAGCTATTCACTGTGCTGTATTTGAGAATTTATCCCCCTCTATATAATTATTCTCTGCATTATATTATCTCCACTCTTTAATATAAAATCTTATTTGACTTTTATTTTAATCCTAAATATAAGACCTCAATCCGCTTCGTCTCTCATATTTATGCATTTTTTTCAAAGTGATTCTTCTAATAATTGTAGTTCTAATCAATACACTTGATTATTAAGGATATTTTAGGAAAAACAACACATATTTATTACAAATAACTAATTTAATTTATTTTCTTAATCTCCTCAAATTAGTCAACTAGCTCTTATAATTAAGACCAGAGATAATATTATGTTTAAAGGACTTATTCTCTCTGGTTTTTTTAGCTATCCACATAAGTTCCGACTAAGAGCCATCTTATAAATCCACATTACTAGATTTAAACTCCGTTACATTTGAGGAATTATTGTTTTAAGATCAAATTTCAACAACTAAAAAAAAATCTTAACCCTTTTTCCATTCATTTAAATGTATGAGAAAAGTTTCTCCCTACTTTCTTCTGTCAATTTTCTCTCCCATCTTTCCACTCTCTCCTCATCCATTCGTGTTTTCATCCGTAAGAGAGATCTCATCTTAAGGGCCACATAAAGCTCAAAGAGACAGGAAAAAAGAAACATCCAAATCCCAAAGGTGACAAGAAGGGGGGAAAGGTCAAAAGTGCAGCATCCAGTTTGACTAAGAAGCAAATGCATATTGTATCGCAGAGAAGACGGTGACATGTGAGGCCAAGCAAAAGGAAACAAACAAAAGCCATGTGAGCACTTGTTAATACAAAAGAGGCAAAGACAAAAGTCGCAGGTCAACGAGTCAATACCCGAACCACCATACACTCACTCGCACCCTATTCCAATCCCTCTTCTCCTCCCTCGCGGTTCGTTCTTGACTCCAAACCTCCTTTCATTTAACTATTCTCTTCTCTCTATATTGCCATTTACACCATCTCTGAATTAAATCTCTTCATCATGTTTCACAATCAAACAACCAAAATTACAAAAAACACAGAAGTTCTGTGAGCAAAATACATATCATCATGCAAGTCGCAGGGCGCTTTTGATCTTCTGAATGGTGCAGGAGATGAGGTTGTTCACCGTCTCCACGGACTCCACCGTGAGTTTTGCCGTCGGCAGACTGTTTACCAGAATCTGGAACCCTACTGTGAGGAGGCTGCCTTGGTGGTCACCGCCTCCGTCGGGGCTGCTGCCACCTTTGAGTAAACTGCCGCCGAAGCTGGATTGGCGGCCGTCGGGTAGAATGGCGAAACCTGAAGGCAAGAGAGCAACGTAGGCGGAGTCTCCGCCGCTCATCACGACGTTCAAGGATTGCACGTCGACCGGTGCATACACCACGACCGAGCACGACGGGTCGGTCCATGTCTCTTGCAGAATTACCATATTGCTCTCGTTAGGATTCACCGCCTGCAACCGCCAACACGTAATAACTTCATTATAAATTACACAACCATTTTTTTCTCATTTTAAATTTTAATTTTAACTAAAACAAACAAACAAATACAAACAAACTTTATCCAAACATGTTTAAAGAAACCTAAAAGGGTTTAAGAAATTAAAAAAATAAAGCACGGATGACGAAAAGTGCTATTTTTAACCAAGATAGAAAAATATAGATCCGAACTACTGAAGAGTAACAAATTTTAATAACTTATTTTTAATAACAAACTCTAATGTAAAACACTGTTGGATTTACACTAAGTTCCTCCTCCACATGATCTTAAACCCAAAAAACAAAGAGAAAAAGGAAATCTGTTCCGATTAACTGGATTAATTAACCAACATTCAACTATAAACATTTTTCTTTGTCCAGAAATAAATAAATAAATAGAGCCCTTGGGATTCAAGAAGAGGATGAGATTCACCTTCACATATTATTCAATAATACTACTTCCGGTCCTAATTATAAGAGCTAATTGACTAATTTGAAAAGATTAAGAAAAGAAGTTAGTTAGTTATTTGTAATAAATAGATATTGTCTTTCTAAAAATATCCTTACTAATCAAGTGTATTGGTTAGAACTACTATTATTAGAATGACTAACTTGAAAAAAATGCATAAATATGATAGACAAAGTGGATTAAGGTCTTATATTAAGAACTAAAATAAAAATCAAACAAAGTCTTATATTAAAGACCGGAAGTAGTATTACCCCCCAATTTCATTCTCATAAACTACTTTCCAAAATTTTATGTTCAAACCTAAGTCAATATGAGGACAAAAAAAAAACACACCCTCTTTGTCAAATAAAAAATTCACACACACAATCTCCCAATATGCTCAAAGAAAACTAAAAAAGGGTTAAGAAAGAAAAAATAAGCACAGATTAAAAGAGTAATCATTATTTTTAACTGCAAAATAAATATGGATCCAAGCTATCGAAAAATAATTTAAACTTTATAGACTGGGTGTGTTAGCTGAAAATAGAGAATAATTTTATATAAATTTGAATAATATAAAACCCATGCTTGGATTTGCACTAAATTCCTTCTCCCCATGATTTTAACCCAAAAACCAAAAAAGAAAAAGGAAATCCGTTCCAACTAATTGGATTAATTAATCAAGATTGAACCATAAACACTTTTCTTGGTCCAAAAATAAATAAGTATGTTGACTAAGAGAAACCCCTTGGGATTCAAGTAGACGATAAGATTCATCTTCATTTATTATTCAATAATATTTGTTACACGTGTACAATTAATTTTTCTACTCAAAATTACTTTTTTATTCCATTTCATTCTCTTACACCACTTTCCAAGATTTTAAGTTCAAACCTAGGTCAATATGTGGACAAACAGCGCAATAAAAGACTCGGCTCCGCTCATAAGAAAGTCAACATGCAAAGAAAACAGCAGAAAAAAACAGAACTTACGCTGGCACGAAGGAGAGACACACAATTTCCAGAACCTTGACCTTTGGCAATATGGACCATCTCCTGCATTGGTCCCCCATTCGACAAAATGTCCCACTCACTTCTCAGCTGTTCATCACGCAGGAAATTGAACAGACTCTCCCGGGACACCGGAATCCAAACGGAAGTCGCGGCGCTCAGCACAATCCCCGGAGGCTCGCCGGGGTCGTCCACATTCTTCCGGGTCATCACTTTCACATCATCACCAAGTGTGCCAATGTGAAGGCTGTCCCACTTGCGTGCCGACGATAAACAAACCCCAGAACAGAAGTTATTGGTCATGCGCTGTGCCAGCTTCAACAAACTTCTCCGACCAGCTTGGCTTAATGCTGCTAAAATATGTTGTTGCCATTGTCAATAAGGGTAAAAGGACATCGTCGTAGAAGCAGAAATTTAAGGAAACATTGTATTACATATGTTGTTACCTGTATGATCCTCATTGGGTATAGAAGATGACATGAGGATTGCCAAGCATTCACATTGCCTTTGAAGGGTGGCAATCCACCTATGAGCACCGAAGCCAAAGCCGGAATTCACCGCTGGCCGGTAGAGTTGGTGAACAACGCTTTCATCATACTGTGTATGCTCAACCCATGTAACCTGCAACAGTACAACTTGTATCCGGTCATTGTTTTATCTTAGATACAGACAAAACAATATGGTCACATTTGGTGTAATAACAAATTATTCTTTTTCTATGGCACTGAAAAAGAAAATAAAATATATATACACAATATCTATAATATCTTTGTCATTCTTATTCAACAATAAATATCACTTGTTGCTTCTACCTTTTGATTCAGCAAATATAAGATGCATTCTCATCTTCAAAGTCACCTTTTCATCTAATTTTCCTTTCTATTCCATTCCATTAATATTATATGGCATCGAATCGACTCGATTCTAGTCAGAATTTCATAAGTGGCAAGGATCTGATTTGGAAATCGAGGATGTCATATCATGTCTAAAGCTAATTCAGGATTAAACTGCTAATGAAAGAGAACTGCTCATCTTTTCGCCACGAAAGCATGACACGACAAAGTTACCTGACATGAGAATATGATACCCAGCTACAAACTTTCATTTTTCTTAACTAACTCGTACCTATAGAAGATCATGCACATGATAGGAGTTATTGATGTTAGATACTTTAGTGAGACAAAATTTCGACCAAATGTTGAGATGGTTAATCTTAATTCAAATTATACAAATAGAAAGCAGTACTAGTTGAAAAATCATCACTAATAATCAAGGTAATATATTAAATCCATATGGAATCACATTATTCACAAAGCTTGAATAGCATGGCTCCTCTCAGGCTCGGTGCAACTAAACTTTTATGCTTCCTATATTTCTTTACATATTTCAACGGTTTAAATGTTTAAAAAAAAAAAAAAAAAAAGGTTTGTAATCTTCAAGAAATATTATCTCTTGCATAGAAAAAATATATACTTCATCTATAAGGATAAACTGCTGCAATGAAAGACATGGTATTAGAAGGCAAAAAATGATTACCTAAATCCACGCTTAACTACATAGGAAACCGAAGCCACTAAACCCTAGCCTCACCACATATTAATACCCCAACTTAGAACCCGGCTGAGAAATCATAATGTTAAGTCAAAACCAAAGCAGACGTCAAAAACTGATTTAAAAATATATATATATTCATTCTAAACAAAGTTCACAGGATAATTATTAAAAATCTTGATTTGAGAATCTTCCAACGGCACAGATTGCAATAAAAGTGTCACCTGGCACTATTACACTCTATTATAATTCAAGGGTGCTGAATCCAGGTCATTGTGACCTTGCCCACAGTGAAAATTGGTAAGATAACATAGAAGAGTTAGGTATAGAAGCATCTAATATATTTTTTTATAATAGAAAGATTGAAGAACCCAACATTTTTTTAACTTCTATGCACTGATAAACCCTATAAGATGCTGAGACAGAAATAAGGATTCATGAATACAGACAGAAAGCAACCCAAACTTCGAAATTACAAATTATAGCATAACAATTTAACTAAGGGCTCATCTTTTTCAACAGGATACCAATAAGTCAGCCCCTTGGGTAAAGATCCATAATAATATATCTAAAATACATGTAAATCTGAGTATTATAACTGCAGCCAATCAGTTATGTCAATTGGACATATAAGCAAGGATGCATGCATAGCATATGAAGAAATAAAGTATTTAAAAAATGGAATTAAGAGCGTTGGTTACCTTTGAGTAACCATTGGGCATATCTTGCACAACACAGCCTGAAGGAAGCCTCCTACAGCTCACGAACGGGTGGCCATTGATTGAACTATGGCCCATCTCAACCGAAACATCAACCACAGCCCACACACCTTCTGTATGCTGCTTGCAGAACCGGAGAAATCTCAATTGACGCACAGGGACAAGCGGCGAAAGCAATTGAACCTCAGCATGCATCTAACAAGGAAATATTTTCCTATCAGTTCCAGCCATATATGGCTAAGTTCAGAAATCATAGGGCTGAGAAAAAAACATACCACTTGCAAAGCACCATTTCTGGTTCCACCCATACCATTGGATATTACATCAACGGTTGCACCTCTAGCTATCAAGGAGGGAAACATCTCTGCCCACCGGTTCTATTGACACAAGTGATTGATTAACATGATATATCCAACAAACCTTAAAATTTCTAGACCAAATCAAATTGTTCTACCAGATGACTAGTATCAAGTATGCAATACAGTACAGCTCAACCAGAGGTAATTAGCAAAAAACAAATTCACTAATTAAAGCTTAAATTCAATCAATTTATTTAGTAAAGGTTAGATTTGCCATACTGCATCCATCAATGTCTCCATGAGGGCTAGACTGTTTATGATGACTATCCCAGTTTCCCTTGTAGCTTCAGTTATAAAACCAGCCGGTTTCGGGCCAATACAAGGAGAAATTAACCTGTCATACTCCTCGTGGTCCAGTATCTCTTTCTCACCACCCAAACACTTAATCCAGAGAGGGCTATCTGCCCGAGCCATCTTCATTAATTCCTCCATAGCAGACAGTGCAAGATCAATGAGCATAGACCTATCCGCCTGAATTTCGCCACCCATCATTCCCATGTGAGATCTGATCCGGGGCATCACTGAAGGTGTGCCCAGAATGCCTTCCCCTAGATCAAGCCCCATTGGCAGGGAAGAACCTAGAGCACTTGAACCACCAATTTCGCTCCTTCCTATAGCAAGTTCAAGACCAGAATTTGAACCCAGAACAGCAGTGGGGCTGGCCAAGGACGAGAGTGGCCTACCCAGGAACTTGTTCGCCAAGGAACATATTCGATTCAATTCATCCTTAAGCCGAGCATTTTCAATTCTGAGATGGTGGTCCTCAAATGAAATTTGGCCAGGAATCGCTGGGCCACCACATCTATTACACATCGGGTTGGACATGGCTTCCTTTATCATACTATTCTCAGCTCGGAGTTTCTCATTCTCTTGTCTGAGAATCATATTCTCATGGCGTTCTATTTGAGTCTAATTCAAGAAGAAGCAAGTCCCTATCAGTACACTACACTAATCTGCAAATCCTATCAACGTGAGACAAATAACAAAGCTATATATCCAACATAGTCCAATTACCTTCATTTGTGTTCTTCTATTTTGAAACCAGAACTTGATCTGTTTATTCTCCAAGCCCAGCCTCTTACTAAGTTCTGTCCTCTGCTTCTCATCAGGATGAGGACACTCCTTGAAGAATCTAAAACAATGTGAAAAACCCATCATTCTTCTAAATATGGCACATAAAAATCACCAACTTGTGAATATAAAATTGCGGAAAATTCATGAAGGCATACGCTTCAAGCTCTTGAATTTGATGAGGAGTGTGTCTGTGATATTTCTTTCTTCTCTGAGGCTGATCATCGCCGGCGTCCTGATCATCACCGGAAACTCCTTCGAAATTATCACTCCCAGACCGACTCTCATATTCATCATCCCTCATCCTACCCATCAAATTATGATCAAATTCCCCAATAAGACCCATATCACCATGGCCCTCCATTTTCTGTTGCTGCAGAATCAAATCATCAGAAACAACAGCAATATTGAACAACAAAAAGAACAAATCTAATCTTTTTTTTTTTTTGTTTTAACTTTATAACGAGATATATATAGAGAGAGGGAGGAAGGGAGGGAGATCAATCAGATGAAGCATACAGCTGAAATAGAGGGAGAATGCAGAGTTGGCTCAACAATTGAACCACTGGGGATATAGAGATTGTGTGGAGAAATATCAGCCACAACTCTTGCACTCCCACAGCTGTAGTTTCTACTATTGCTCCTAACTAAACCGTCAAACCCCATTAAAAAAATATAAACAAAAAAGGGAAAAAAACGAAAGGAAAAGAAAAACGGAAGGACCCTTTGTCTCCCCGAAGCTTGGCATATAAATCTAAGTATTTTCTCTCCGACCGCTTCTCCTCTTCTTCTTCTTCTGGGTTTGTTTCGAAATTGTCCCTATAATTGCTTTGACCTCGAAACCAGATTTCGAAAATTTAAAAAGTGACTAATGGGGTTTCTTTTCCTTCCTCACAAGTAAAGACACAACCAAAAAGGCGCTCGCTTGTCAACGCCATGCATATCTCCGAATTAACTCTATCTCACCCAGGAAGAAGACAAGAGACGAAGCCCCATATTTCTGATCCCTTGTAGTTTGTTCAGACCAGCCCCTCAACTTCGTGAAAGCTAAACAGTGAGAGAGGAAAAAATGGAATTATAAAGGAGAAAAAGAACCCATAAACTTCTTTTCTTTTTCTTTTGGGTTGTGAAAGTATACGAGCACAATTGACCTATACCTTGTCCGTATTGAAGACGTCGAGAGAGAAGGAATATATAAAATCTGAGAGGGGAAAAAAAAACAAAGATTGGGATATATAGTTTATATTAGGACTTGCAATATCCCTCTGTTCACACTCCCCTACCTTGACTTTTCAAGGGAATCATATCAAATCTAAGCAAAAATACGAGACCCTTGAGATGAGAGAGGACCATTCTCTTTCTCTCTCTTCACTGATGATACAAGTGAGAAATGGAGAAAAGGTGGATGGAATAGAAACCAAACCAGGTACGGAGAAAACGATACCTTTAATTTGACAGCGATCACTGTAAAAGGCCTAAGGCTAAAAGGCCCAATCGTCTCTTTGGTTGCGAACACAAGAAAAGTTGCACTTTCTCTCTCCCTCTCTCTGAAATCTGTGGATGCGAAAAAGACACAGAAAAGTTGAAGTTATAAATTATAATACACAAAAAGGTGTTGGTTGGAAGACAATGGTTAAAAAATAGCGGAGCTGACTAGCAACGCGACGAGTCCGACTAACCAGAAAGTCAATGTCTTTCTGCCTTCTTTTGATATTATTATTTTAAAATAATCAAAATCCTCTGCCTGCTTGCACTGCGATATTTTATTAGTACAATATAAGGGCTTGGCACACGTGGAATTTCAAAAATAAAACTTTGGAGTAGTATTGATGGAGAAAACAGCAACCAACATCCTTATGTTATTTTTCATATGCATTCAATACTATAATCTTGTTTATATTGCATCCAGTGGAATAATATTATTCACACCCTGATTTTACATTTATAATGAATTTAACACTATAAACCATAAACAACATTGGGGTGTTAAATATAACTAAATCCTATCATTAGAGGTGTTGCATGTTTCACAAGAATAACATTAAGCTGCTGAACACATCACAAATAATATGAGAATGTTATATGCATCTAAAAACAGTCCAAATAGCACCACATGCTACTTTATATTTATTTATTTACTTTTGCCATCACCTTTTAGTGTTATTTGTAACTAGCAAAAGATTGTGTTAGCATGCGTTTATAATATTTATATTATACTCCCTTAGTCTTAAATATAGGAGCTGATTAAGAACTTAATTTTAATTCTAAATACAAGATTTATTTTATTTTATTTTTTTGTATTTATTATTTTTTAAAACTAATATAAATTAATATTACGTAGCTAGGATACTTTGAAAAATTATGTTATATTTATTATAATTAAATAATTTATTAGCTTATTTTATTTATTTAAATTAGTTAGTAAATTTTATATTAAATATCGGAGGAGCAATTTATTTTAGAATAAAAAATCTAAAAAAAAATAATACATATTATTCACACGTTATAAATAAGCATGGGACGAATCTAATTATATGTGCATATAACTTACATAAATAATGTATTGTTTTTTTTCCTTTCTTTTAGTAATATTCTTTATCCTCCAACGTATAATTAATCTCTTTTAAAATGTAGAAAATAAAAGGTAAATTCTTTTTAGATGAATTTGTTCTGTACAAAGGTAGAAATCTTATAAACCTTTACATATATGCAAGGCCACGATTACACCTAGGCTAGTCAATTATAGCTAAACCCTCACATGGATTAGTAATTCATAAGTGTTTATAAATACCTTTATGTAAATTAAAATAAAACTCTGCTGACATGTTTACTTCTTATTTTATATGATAATCTTGCCTAAGGCCTTCATATTTTGAAACTCATGCAGTGATGCGAAGTTTTTTTTTTTCTGTAGGAGCGAAAATGGAGGTTGGTCCGCCACTCCCAGCTCGTCACAAACAATTTAATGGATTCATTTATGAGCATTTATGAAAATTCACCAAGTCGGGGATGAAATATTAAAAGGGGCAAATTATATCATGTACCAAGTTTGGTCACAATAGAATGAGTGTGTTCTTTTAGTTTACATGTATTATTCTGTTGGCAAAAAAAAAAAATTGGAAAAATTAAATAAATTTATGTATATTTTTTAAATTAATTTGCTTACTTATGAACTGATGTATAATTAAATAGTATATAAGTATTTCAGAGAGATCATATAATATATATTATAATTAAATAGTTTATTTAGATTTCTTAATATCCTCAAATTGATTAATTGGGTCTTATATAAAAAATCATAGCTATATTATTATTATTATTATTATTATTATTATTATTATTTGTTTATAAAACGATAACTTTTTTTTAACTTGTTTATGAAGGATATTATTGGTCATCTATAAATTTATCTTCTTGCATTTGTTTTATTTCATTTTGGTTATACTACCTCCGGTCCTTAATATAAGACCATATTTGATTTTTATTTTGGTCTTAAATATAAGATCCCGATCTACTTTGTCTCTCATATTTACTCAATTTTTTCAAGATAGTCCTTCTAATAATTATAATTCTAGTTAATACACTTGATTAGCAAGGATATTTTAGGAAAGACAACACCTATTTAGGACAAATAGCTAACTCAACTTACTTCTTTAATTTCCTCAAATTAGTCAACTGGCTCTTATAATTAGGATAGAAGGTACTCCTCCGGTCCTAATTATAAGACCCAATTGACTTATTTGAGGAGATTAAGGAAGTAAGTTAAGTTGGTTATTTATAATAAATAAGTGTTGTTATTCCTAAAATATCCTTGCTAATTAAGTATATTGGTTAAAACTATCATTATTAGAAGGATTATCTTGGAAAAAAATGCATAAATATAAGAGACAAAATGGATTGGGTCTTATAATTAGGACCAAATAAAAAGTCAAATTGAGTCTTATAATAAAGACCGAAGGAGTAGTATATTTGGCTCGCTGGAGAGGGGTTCGATTGGTGCTATTTTCGATGATGTCGGTATTCAAAAATGAGATGTCGATAGATGGGGGGAAAAAGAGAGAGAGAGAGATGCGGATAACCGAATAATTTTTTTTTTGTTTTTTGGGGGGCAAAGAGTAACCGAATGATAATTACATGTTGAAAAATAGGCAAGTACTTGGGTTTCAAGGGAATGGGCTCCAGAATATTCCTTCACGCGTTTTTCAGCTTCTTCGTTGGGAAGATACTGGTGTCAACGTGCTTTGACCGCAATTATGGACCGAGATATTCAAATTTGTCCGGCCCCGACCATCCTATCCTGATGCCCTCTCCTAATTCCAGTCATTTTGGATGAATCCAATCTAAGAAAACTGGGGTGAGATGGTAAAAGATTGGGACAAATTTGGAATGGGACAGCAAATGACTCTTCTTGTCCTAATTATGTTAGTTTTTTTTAAAATATATACTCTTCCGATCATGTACAAAGATTTTATATTTAGAACCGGAAGAGTAGTATATTATTTGCAGATTATTACTGTTTTATCAGTCAAGTTAATGGTATATCTGAAATGCCTGCTGGGAAAACTCGACTTTGGGATGCCTTTGGAAGCTTCAACCAAAGAATGAGACTATCATGTTACTAAAAGAATGGAGCTATAGATTAAGTATTAATAATGCTGCGTCTTCTTCTTCTTCTTTTTGGCCGCTTCCAACCTTGCTATTAATAGTGCAAAATTACCAAAACCATATTTGCAAGTATTATATGTTTGAATATTAAATTGCTATAGTGCTACTGATGTCGGTTTTTAAGTAAAACCAAATTAATCAAAAAATCAAACAGAGTCAATTTCAAACACCGTGCTAAAACCAGTCAATCAAATTAACCGAAATATTTTGGTTCGATTAGTTAGTTGTATGTGAAAAATAATATTAGATTAAAAACATAATAAAACAATAATTACAGCCGTTAATTAATAATATTTCATTATCTAAGATGATTTATTATAATAATATCTATTAAATATAAATATATTTGAATGCATTGTTCAAGCTCACATAAACCCACATATATATTTATCATAACAATATCTATTAAATGTAAATATATTACAAATGTATTTCAGTTTTAACCAAATTAAACACTAAAAACCAAATTGTCAAAAGACAAGAACTGGATATTTAGCCGAAAATCTGAAGTAACCAAACCCAAAAGTCAAAATTAAATTTGGTTTGATTTGATTTTTTGTTAAGGTCTGGTTTTACTCACTCCTACTTGAAAGATGAGTGTGTATATTTTTGGCAACAAAAAAAGAAAGATGAATATATTTTTAGAATCAAAAGAGCGTTGGGGAAGGAAAAAGGACAAACATATAATCTAACAATGTATATTTGAAGCCTTTTGATTAAGATTTTGGGATGCTAAATTATGCTTTTCCCTCCTTTGGACCTGGGGATGCTGTCTTGATGCTCTGAAGCTCATAATTGATCACCACATCAAGATTATTTTGATTTTTGAATAGCTCAAAGTTAATGGACACATGAGGTCAAGAAATTAGTCATCAAGTTGCATCAGGAGCTTAATATTAAATCGAGTCGTTGGATCAAAGTATAATCTGACTAAATTTTGACTCTGCTTTATGTTACTTATTTGCTTTAATTAAAACGGTGCAGTAGTCTTGACTTTCCGGGGCAGGTAGGTCGTGAATGCTGAGAATTCCCTTAAAATCTGCTCAACCGTGAAGCCATGAACGAATGAATGAACGAAATTGTTGGAGGAGACGAAATGAGGTAACTTACTTAAGAGATGAGAGGAAAGAAATGAGGAAGCTTACAACCGTGAAGGAGAAGAGAGTTCCCATAGTCAAAGCGAGCGTTCACATTTGTGTCCGTAGTTGATGTGTCATTTTAGAGTGAAAACGGTGTCTTGTTACGCCCAAGAGGAGAGAAGAGAAGAAGCCAAACGCTGTGTATCAACACATGTCACCGTGGCCATGGATCCACGAAGCTGCTGGCACTATAT